TAGATTATGTTGAGGTTCATAATCAATTATGAGTTATGACATAATCGATTATGTTGAACTGTGTTATCAATTATGTCGCTGCTTGTAATCAATGATCAACAAGCGAATAATCGATTATGTGCCTATTTTCCTAGTTTTGTACAGTATACATGTTTGTTTGCAACTTGTGATTTGCACTTAATGCAAAATTAATTGTAGACTTTTCATAGAACATAAATTTAACAAAATATTTGGTAAAATAATTAGGAATTACAACGTTGCAAAGATGAGTAACAATTTTATACTAAGTTTTTATTTTAAACCGTCCAAAAAAAAAGAAACAAAAACCTGAGAGTCAAAACAGGAGTGGTAACAATAATTCATTATAGTATAATTGGTTGTCTAAGTAGTATATGAACAACAACCACGTGAAGTGTACTTAGTTTAAATTTAGGAATAAATTTTATTTTGCTATTTAATAAATTGTCTATATTAGGACATTAAATTTTTAAATATATAAAAATTGAGAGATCATTTTTTTTAGTAATAATAGTTAATTATAGTATAAATAAATGTCAAATTGGTACTTAGTTTAGATTTAGGAATATATATTTTTTTGTTATTTTATAAATTGTCTATATTAGAACATTAAATCTTAGTCAAAACTTTATTATTATTATCATTATCCATAACATGATATAATTAATTAAAATAAAATATATTTTTGTACATAGGTAAAATATTTCAAAGATTTGAATTATGTTTTTATCGTCGTCAAGACTCAAAAGACAAAGATAAAGACATGAGTCACAAAAAATGAGAAAAATGTGGTATAGGAGTCTAATCCCTCCTCCTAACTTGCCTACTTTTCTTACTTTGTTAGATTATGGTCGTTACTTTAATAACGCACGTCAAATGAAAAAAATATTACATAGATTATATCCATAAGCAAATAGTACATCCAAAGGTAATGGACTTCAAGTTCTTCATTATGGCTGAGTTTGAATTCCCACGCCACCTTTCTTGACAAGGGTTGGATAGATTTTTAACATTAATGGGTAGTATTTATGAAGACCTTATGCTTAAGTGTTACAGGATATTTAAGATATGGTACATAAAGAATCATATTCTGATTAATTGGCCTTATTATATCATCAGACATACAAGGAAATGTAAGGCTAATTATATGTTTCTGTCTTATGGTCTTCTAATCACTTGTATTCTACTACACTATAGCTTGGACTTGATTTTACAGTCATGACACTCCCTCAAAATCACCCATCTATTGAAGATGAAGATGTGCGTGTTGAACATGAACAAACACAAGCACCAACTCAAAGAGAACAAGTATATCCTTCCCAACAAGTTGATACCATAAATTTAATATAAGAAGGTACTCAGGATATGCAAAGACATATGGGTCGACTTAAAATAAATGTTGAGAATCATTATCAGAGTCTACAACGAAGGATTAATTATGTGTACCACAAGATCGATTAGGTTGAAGACTAAATTGATTATATTCATGAGAGTATTGAGTAGATGTCTCATTCATGTTATTGCTAGTATCTTTGTATTTTTTTTATTTAAGTTTTTCTTTTGGATGACTGTATGACTATACTTTTTTGGTACTTTGGACGACTGTAACTTATTTACCATAATTTTTTATTTTGTATGACTGTAATTTTATTAGTTATGAATGTAGTTTTCCATTCAATTAAAATTTGGATAACTTTGCACTAGGGATGACAAAACGAGTCAACCTATCCCGTTTTGGCCTGCCTAAAGCGGGGCGGGGCAGACTAGCCCGTTATAGTCATGATGGGCTACAGGTCTCGACCCGTCCCGTCAAAGGATGACTGACCTGTCATATTTCTTATTTTATTATTTTTAAATCAAATCTTTCAATAAAAAAGAGTAAAAAAATATGAGATATATATGATTTTTACCTTATGAAGAAGGATGAGCAAGAAGGAGATGATGAATAAGAGGAGAGGAAAGAAAGATGAGTTTGTGTTTGAGAAAGGAAAGTGTTTCCTATAATGTGTGTTTAAGTAATTATAAAACTTTTTTAATTCTCTTAGTAGTGAGATACTAAGACTTTATGAATTATCTTTATGAGACATTGTGACTTTTAGAATTATCTTTTCATAAATTTTTATATTATATATTGTCTTTCTGACTCTTTGTATTATATCACATTAAAAATAAAATCATTAATAAAGTCGGTCGTGAGCTGGCTCGTCCCGCCCTGCGGGTTAGTCAGATGGGTTGGCGGACTTGGCGGGGCGAGCCAAAATGGGTTGACAGATTGGTGGGCCGACTCGTCGGGCCTGATCCGTTTTACCATCCCTACACGTTATATGCATATTTTAGTTTTTTTATTTAAATATTGTATGTTATATGAAATCAAAATTGCACAAACTTAATAAAAGTTGTAAATTCCAACACACATAATAAACCTTAACAATTTAAGTTTTTTTTTTTTACATGAAGATTAATATTTGACCATGGAAAATCGAAACGAAGAATATATAGATTTAGAAGAAGAACAATTCAGTATTAATGTCTCAGGGATGAATATGAACTTGATATGATAGACTCATGATCAGATACAAGAAAATGTCAACGTTGCGGTACTAATCATGTTATGTAGTGTATCTTCTGCATTATACTTGATATATCACATGTCTATCAGCAGCACCATCAACGTTTGTTAAGTATATGTAGTCTGAAGGGTTATTAAGCATGACCCATTTACTTATTTATTTATTATAAATACTCATGTAATTGTAAACCTAATTAAGTGAATAAGAATTATCATTTAGTGTCGCCGTGGTCGTAGGTCATTTTGACTGAACCACATAACTTCCTTATATTCTTGTTATTTACTTTAGTCTTGTATTACATTTGTGTTCCCAACCATTGGTATCAGAGCCGAAGGTTGATCGATAATTTAAGAATGATATTTGTATCGAAAGTCTTTTTGACAATAGATTATGTAAGTGTGTCCTGTTATGATGAACGATGGTACATGGAAAGACTACTAATGAGCTTGAGACAATCTACCAATGTGAATGAATTCATACTTTAGGAGGAGATTGCTAGATAACCCAAGTGTGAGTTAAGTCCTACATAAAGTAAGAATGAGAAAATTAAGTAGCATATAAGACACGAGACCCATAATCTAATATTTTAAGATTTTGAGTTGAAAATGATGTCATGAATTTTATATATATATATATATATATATATATATATATATATATATTGATGTGTGCGGATCTAATTTTAAAAACAATTTATTGTATATGAATTTAATAAAAAAAATTATAATTCTACTGGTAAACAAACATCTATAATTATTTATCATATTTAATGAAATCAATATTTTTAGTTATAATATAAATAATAGTGTATACTGGTCTGAAAATTTTACTATATATTTAATAATGATAATTATTATAAAAAATATATATTTTATTTGTAAATAATTAAAGAAAGGTGGGGAAAAAGGAGATAAAGAAAGGAGAATATACCTCGAAGTATATATGCTGTGGGCATACATTCCTGGAATTGGACCATATACGATTGAACATTAATTTATATTACAAAAACTAGGTTGTTAGTATTTTTTTAATTAATATAAATTTGTATAAAAACACATATATTTAATTCTGTCAAAATTTAACATTTTAAGTTAATAGGTAGCTAATAAAATATTACTACTGATAAAGTTATTATCATATTTAAAAAGTTAGTTTAATGATACGATTTTACACTGCTATTTAATCATAAATAACTTTGGTATGATTTTGAAAATAATAATTATAAAATTTAACAAATTATTATATATAATTATATATAATAATTATTTTATAATTATGTAGAATAAAATTCTTTCCCTATATCTAGCGAAATTGAAAGAGTTTTTTATATAGTTATTGTTAGATGAATAATTATGAGTTTGGGCATATCAGAAGATTGAGGTTTTTTTAATATTGATAACACATTTTTAAATTTTCGAGGGGTTTATAGAATTTCTTCAATATGTAATTTTATATTTATATTTATATGAAAAGTAAATTCTATAAAATATAAATTAAAGAAATGTTTTAACTTTTTTCAAACATTGAATTGACTTTTTGCAGTTAAAGTTTGAAAATAAAAACCAAAATAAAGTTTCACAAAATAAGTTAGAAAAAATAGACACAATTCAAACCATTTCCTCAAGATTTTTTTTTTCTAATTTAACTTATTAGCAAAACAATAGTATTTCTAAAACTTTAACTTATTAGCAAAATAATAGTATTTCTTAAAACATGTTTTTTTTTTATGTATTTAGAGTTTTGTAATTTATGAATTTTTTTAATAATTTTTTCCATATATATATATATATATACATAAAAGTATTTTTAATATTCAGACAGAATTATATGTATTTTTAAAATAATTGACATTAGTTATGGTTATAATCATTATATATTAACCAATTAATACATATCCAACATCACAGGAGCATACTATTATGTTGACATGGCGATGCTTGGTCCTGCAATGAGATGAGAGAGAAGACGAGTGGAATCTCTGGCCTTTGTTTTATTTCCCAACCTTTATAAAATAAATGGAATATAAGAAGAACATAGCTTTTTCTGGGACACAACACAGCACAAGAGAAACTTGAAAAAGGGATAAAGTGTAATGCAAGAGAGAAAAGAGAGAGTAAAGAGAGGGAACTAAGAAGCAAAGCAAGCACAACAAAGCCACTTTATTTTGTTGATCTAACCTAAACCCTCCTCCTTTTACCTGTTACATTCTCACTTTATCAGCGTGGCACAACACAACCAACCAACCTAAGACCAATGTGTAAGACGTTGTTCCTCTTTCCCTTCTCTTCTCTCTTTCTTTTTGTCCATTTCATCATGTTTTCATTCTAATCTTCAAATCCTCGCCGCCCCAGTCCCCTTTTTGCTTCAAACTCGTCTTCCCTTCCTTAAAATTGCACCTTTACTCTCGTGCTGATGGTGATGGCACACACCACACCCCTCCACTGTTTATGGCATCCCTTCTATCTCCTATGTGTGATTCTTCTCTGTGCAACCCCCTCTCTCTTAATTGATGTTCACCCACAAGACAAGGCCTCTCTTCTTCTGTTAAAGTCAAGGCTGCAAGACCCGTACCAGAGTTTGTCCAACTGGGCAGGCTCCAACTGCACTTCATGGAGTGGAATCACCTGTGACAACAGAACTGGGAGGGTGCTTTCCATCAACCTAACTAGTATGAACTTGTCAGGCCAAATCCGCCCCAGTTTGTGCCAGCTTTCATACCTCAGCAAGGTGGGGTTGTCCCACAACAACTTCACTTCCCTTCTTCCCGAATGTTTTGGAAATTTGCTTAACCTAAGAGCCATTGATCTCAGCTACAACAGGTTTCATGGTGGGATACCAGACACTTTCATGAGGCTCAGACACCTTACTGAGCTTGTTTTGAGTGGGAACCCTGGTTTGGGGGGTCCACTGCCTGCATGGATTGGAAACTTCTCTACAAATCTTGAAAGGCTACATCTTGGTGTCTGTTCATTCAGAGGGGGCATACCTGAGAGCTTGCTTCACTTGAAGTCCCTCAAGTATTTGGACCTTGAGAACAATCTCTTGTCTGGTACACTGGTTGGTTTTCAGCAGCCTTTGGTTTTGCTCAATCTTGCTTCCAATCAGTTTGCTGGTACTTTGCCTTGCTTTTCAGCTTCAGTTCAGTCTCTAACTGTGTTGAATTTGTCTAACAATTCTATTGTGGGGGGACTGCCTGCTTGTATTGCTTCCTTGCAAGCTTTGACTCATTTGAACCTGTCGGGCAACCATTTAAAGTATAGAATATATCCCAGGCTTGTGTTTTCTGAGAAACTTCTTGTTTTGGACTTGAGTTATAATGATTTTTCTGGTCCTATTCCCAGTAAAATTGCTGAGACTACCGATAAATTTGGCCTTGTTCTTCTTGACCTTTCTCACAATCAATTCTCTGGTGAAATTCCTGTGAAAATTACTGAGTTGAAAAGTTTGCAGGCCTTGTTTCTCTCTCACAATCTTCTCTCTGGAGAAATTCCTGCCAGAATTGGAAATTTGACTTATCTTCAGGTCATTGATCTCTCACACAACTCTTTATCTGGTGCCATTCCATTTAGCATTGTTGGGTGCTTTCAGCTGTATGCTCTAATATTGAATAACAATAATCTTTCGGGTGTAATTCAACCGGAGTTTGATGCATTGGATATCTTGAGGATACTGGATATAAGCAGCAACAGGTTTTCCGGGGCTATCCCACTCACTCTAGCTGGATGTAAATCTCTGGAGATTGTAGATTTTAGTTCCAATGAGCTTTCGGGATCCTTGAATGACGCCATAACCAAATGGTCAAACCTCAGGTATTTGTCTCTTGCTCAGAACAAGTTCAGTGGAAATTTGCCTAATTGGTTGTTCACATTTGACGCAATAGAAACAATGGATTTCTCACATAACAAGTTTTCGGGCTTCATCCCTGATATTAATTTTAAGGGTAGCTTAATATTTAACACCAGGAATGTCACTGTTAAAGAGCCACTGGTTGCACCAAGAAATGTTCAACTGAGAGTTTCAGCTGTTGTTTCTGATAACAATCAACTCAGTTTTACTTATGATCTATTCTCAATGGTTGGAATCGATCTATCCAGCAACTTGCTCCACGGAGAGATTCCAAGGGGCTTATTTGGTCTCGTTGGCCTAGAATATCTGAATTTGTCATGCAACTTTCTCTATGGACAGCTTCCAGGTTTGCAGAAAATGCAGAATTTGAAAGCCTTAGATTTGTCACATAATTCCTTGTCAGGACATATCCCAGGAAACATTTCTAGCCTACAAGATCTGTCCATTTTGAATCTGTCTTACAATTGTTTTTCGGGGTATGTTCCCCAGAAGCAAGGATATGGGAGATTTCCCGGCGCATTTGCTGGAAATCCGGATCTTTGCATGGAATCTTCCAGTGGAGTATGTGATGATGGAAGGACTCAGTCTGTGCAAGGAAGTTCTTTCAGGGAAGATAGGATGGAGGGACCAATATCTCTGGGGATTTTCTTTATCAGTGCTTTTGTTAGTTTTGATTTTGGTGTTGTTGTTCTCTTCTGTTCAGCAAGGGCAAGAAATTACATTCTTCAAACAAAAGTTTGATTTGGTGTTTGTTACAGTGACAGTTACAAATTTCCTGTAAATTCCAATTTGTAATTTGGTAGCTGGCGGCTCAGTTTCAAGTGAACATACACTTAATATGACTACAATTACTATCCGGCCATCAACTTCAAAAGTGTTATCTCATGATTATTGAACAAGTATCTCAGAATTACAGGATCAAAACATCATGATGAGTTAAAAAGGGTTTAAAGAACACTCATAACACTGGCGACTGGCTTTATCTGGGTGAAGACTAGTCCTGCGTCATTAATCCAGGAAAAGAATGGATGATTGTGGTGAAAATGTGATCTGAGTAGGGATGAATTTCTCATCATTTTGTTGGCTGTTCTTCACTTTTGCTGGAATTGATTGCAGTTAGTTTAGAATGCATCACCACGTCCATTATTCATTATCAATGTGGTGAAGGGTCAGCAGGAAACATGCCTGATTTGGTCCAGTTGTGGTGATATTTTGGTATTGGTCATCAAATTGCAGATTTGCAAGAATGTTTACTTGAAGAGAACTTGTATCATTCTAGATTAACCTAGGTCTAGGTCTACCTTGCTTGGAGAACCTAAATTTTCCCCGTAGATGTTTTGCCTTAAGATGACGAGTTGATGAAGTATAATGAAGAGTGCTAAGTGCAGATAAGATGAATGGAGTAGATTTCATATATTTAGCATTTTTATTACAATCTCCACACCTTTATACCAATTGTTTTTGTCCAGAAGAACGAGGTTAGGTGATCAACTTATTTTGTTGTTTTTATCATTACAAACTCGAACCGTGTGATTTATGTTTAGGAGAATGTTAGGAGTGTTCCGAGACATGAGTTAAGTAAAATTGATAGTTAGTGAGAATAAAAACATTAGATGAAAGGTATAAAAATTAATACTTAATTGTTAGCAGTTATAATGACTGAAAGAAATGCTAAGAATATTTGATAAAACATACATATCCCGCAACAAAATAATCATTAAGTAGGATTATTATTGATTATAATGAAATGTTTACAGGAACACAATCTAGCACATCATACTCCGTATAGAACTAATGCTAATACATCATGTTCCATCAATATTTTCTAACATATGGCGTGCATGTAAAGCACCTTGAATTGCCAACGAATTCGGCCATCAGTAATAATAAGTTGTCCTAAGAAAAAAAAAGAAAGGAAAATTTGACATTGCTAGCTTCTAATCTGATGCAGGTGACCAATTCTATGGAAGTCAAATTGGAATTTAATATCAAAAACCCTGACAAGCTCTTAAATCCTTGTTGCAACCAGAGTTTATTGGCCATTCTTATCTTCACATTCCTGGGTAGCCAAGGCCAGCCATAGTCCATGTTATCTTATCTACTTAACAATTTCAGTACTGTTCTAATATCTGATAGGACCATCTAGGCTCCCGGATGCAAACTGCCAAAACAAAAGATAGCACTATCATTTATCAACATTATCATTTAGAGATGATTGAATTTTGTGATAAACTATCATGCACAGATACATAATGCCAAGGAACTGTACGGTTATTCTAAAAATATATAGTATACTGGTGGTATATATTAGAAAAGAAATGTATAAAAATTCACAAGACATGACTTAATGTATAATCACGATACTGCAAATTCAAATTAAAAAAATACTTCATGGACACTATTAAAATTACAAAATTATAAATCATTGTCATCATAAATTACTTAATATTTTTCACATACATGAATAATACTTGCAATCTCTTTCATTTCTTGAAATCATCCATAGCGATAACTATTTCAATTTTAATTCATCATGAGACAGTGTTTCAAATGAAAAATACTAGCCTCTCACAAATATAAATAAAAGAAACGGAAGCAAGGAATCCAATTAAGACAGAGTTGTGTAAAGAAACAAGATCTTGAAATCGGGAACCAGGATGCATTCTCTCACGGACGATAGATCTGAAGTTTGAACAGAAAAGTAGTACTTTCTTTATAAAAACCTCTTTCTTCATAATTTAGATACCATCCGTATATAAAGTAATTGAGGTCCCACAGTAAAAGATGAGAAACAAGTCCTTGTTAACACCAATAAAGTAAAACAACTAACCTGCTGAACAATTGGATTTGTTGAAGTTGTGAATTCATGAGTCATTCCTTCCCAAACAATCTTTCCCTTGTGTAGAAACAACAATCTGTATTTACGAAGGATGTTTGCATTTTAGGGTGTATGAATTCTGGGCAAATTAAGAGGCTTAAGGAGACAGGAAAACATGCAATCATTATGAAAAAACCCTTACCTATCAATGGCTCTTTTAATGGTACTATGTTGGTGAGTAACGACCACATAAGATGCAATATTCCCAGGTTTTCCACGAGCATCTCGTCCTTTTATGTGCACAGAGCGAATAAGATCCTCAACGACAGTAGATGCAATAGGATCAAGTCCAGCAGTTGGTTCGTCATATAAAAGCACCTATACAGAAGGGAAAACGTTTATATTTTATAAACCGAAGAAAGAGAGGAGGAAACATGTTGATTGAATAACAGTAAATGTTTCATCATATTAGATTTCAAAAATCATCTCCATCGTTGGAAAGTTATGTGACTATACAGATAACTTAGGCCATCAACTATAGTTCTTTTTCCTATAGTAACTAACACAAAGTGAGAAGCCTTCATATGAAAATCAGTGTAAGGTTACACCACTAGTTGTCTTTGTTTCACTTCGATGTTACACAGACGAACTAACAGTAAAATTTTGAAACTAATGATTAACTTATGCTTGAAACATAAGACCCAGAAGAACATTTCTAAGACTCCTCTCTGCGGAGTAAAAATTTCAAACATTAACCACTACTTAAGTATAGAAATAGGAAGCTAACACACCTCTGGCTCATTTGATTCCTTTGTAGTGTCACAAATTATAGATCGAGCTAAAGCAACTCGCTTTTTCATCCCACCTGATAACTCAGAAGGCAACCGATCTTCAACTCCCTGTAAAAAAGGTGAGAAGTTAGTCTTTTGTAAAACATAATGAACTATGCAACAATAATGGAAGAAAGCAGTGTTAACAGCAATTCAGTAGTATGAGTAAGGAGCAACTTTCTCAGTGGCAGAAAGAATACGTATGTTAGTACTGCTACCTTTTATTTAGGCTGTTAAGGTTCCAACATAAAACCAATTGACAATATGTGGAGTAGTCTAACATGTATTTAAACCATACCAAATGACATGAGGTAGACGATGTGGGACTTTCAACATAGGTAGTATATGTGCCTAACGTTAATGGTTTTGAACCAAGTGCCTACCTTCAATCCAACTGCGGCCAAGGTTTCCTTGACAAGCTCTGATATCTGACCCTCAGACATGCTTGAGTGTTCATACCTGAAGAATTAAATAGGTCAGAAACAAAAGAAATAAAATAATCTTAGAAAAATATAAGATTAAATATCAATTTAATCACCTTTTAGACAGCAATGTGAAAAGGGAATTGAAGTTTAAAAGGAAAAGTTGCCTTACAAGAGAAAACCAACATTTTCACGAACAGTCAAAGAATCGAAGAGTGCAGCACTTTGGAAAACCTGTTTACAGATTAAAAAAAATGCAAATTTACAATGGAAGTATAATAGCACCCAAGAATTAGCATATTGCATATTATTCTGAAACTTACTAATCCTATCCGAAGACCCGATATGTCATCATCGCTTACTAAACCAGCCCTCTTTTTGCCTCGAATGTAAACTTCCCCCTACAGTAATAGCATTCAAGAAATTAACTCATTTGAATGAAACTAAAATCAAATAACCAAAACCTCAGATACTTACCTTGTCCGGAGCAAGAAGTCCTGCCATAATCTTCAAAACTGTAGATTTACCAGTTCCAGAGGGACCAATTATCCCAACAGCTTCACCATGCCTGATCTATTCATTATTAAAAAGAAAACAAATAGAAAAAAGCGAACTCCAAATCAGCTATATATCCCCTACTCTTACTGTCAACAAATTTTCATTTAACACACCTTTTTCCCAAAATGAATTTATCAAAAAACAGGTTTCTAATGGAGCTCAACAATGTTATTCGTTTCATGCTACAAACCTACGTTACAAACCTCAAAACAAGAGCCAAGACTTGGTAGTTATTGTTGTAAGCATCCACTACTTCATTATTTCATGCTAGATAACCCACAGAAAATAATGAAAGAGGCAAACCAAACACAAAAGGATATGGACATGTCGGGATAAATTTCTCTATAAGCACTTGTAAGAGAATACAATAAAAAGATAAAATGAATTTAGTTTCTCTGATAACTTAAAATTAACTTATCCACTTCAACTTTCAGAGAAGTTAGAAGGAAGAGATTCTGTGAAAGTTAAGTGCATCAATTGATTTTACGTTAAGAAAAAACTCAATTAATTTTACTTTCTTATTTTCTTTTCTACAAGTGAATAGAAAAGGGTATCTAACCAAAACCATTGTCAAGTACATAATCCCTCACCTTGAAGCTGACACCATTTAAGATTTTCTTTTCACCAAAAGATTTGTACACGTCTCTACACTCAATAAGAACATCAGAATCATCCTCCCGATCCCGCTCCGCGCCCAACTGTTCTGATTTGTGCGAACCCTGGCAACAAACTTGATGTCAGCCAGAAACCCAGAGGAAAAAAAATAACTTTACGATTACCCAGAACCCCAAACTCACTTAAACACAAACCCCAACAACAAAACTGATTATTGAAGCAAAAATCAAAATCAAATTATGGACATTTACGTTGAAATTAATGGGGGAAGAGTCCTGGCTCTTGAAGTTCTGCGGAGGTGCGATGCAGGCGCAGACAACCTTCCAGTGATCTCTATCACGTTGCTTGCTGTAACGGAACGAATTGGGAGGAGGGATCCTGGTGGAAGCGTTTTGTGCAGTGAAGGGGAGAAAGCGGGCGGTGGTTGAAAGGGAAACCATAGTAATGAAGAATGAATAAAGAAAAAAAAAATAAGAAAAGGATTAATATAAGTGGGGTTGTTGTGTTATGGGGAGGAAAGCATGTGATTCATATGGGGTTAAGAGTTTCCATTCAAAGGGGCAATAATGGTCAAATGGAAATGGCCGGTGGAAGTTGATTTTGAGAAAAAAAGAGTTTTCTTGTTGGTTGGGGTTGGGGATGACCTGATTCTGTTTCTTCGTTTTGGTTTCTCTCCAATGGCAGCAAAGTATCAATCAGAGTTGAGTTTGGTTTAGGCTTACCCTGGATTGGGATTGGAAAGGGAAGAAGACAAATCAACTCTCTGTGAATGAACTTATGGCCTCTGATCTATGCTCGTCCCTCTCACTCTCCCAACTTCTCACACGCAACATTGCGTTCTCTTCTACATCTAAAGAGAACAATTCCATGTCTAAGTGTTTTAGATTTCATTTACCCATTTTAAGTAATACTGAGCTAATTGGGGGAAAAAATTATGCCTTTCTCTTCTGATCTTTTGTTTTAAGATTTTTTTTTGAACTTGTAACAATTCTGGAAAATGATACTTTTATCATTTTAATATTAACATCACAATGGTTCAAATTTTGAAGTAATTAATTCTAATATACTGATAGTCAAAATCTGATAACCACTTTTTCCAGAAATCAAATTGAATTGAAAAACAAGTTTGTTATTTCTTTTCATTCCATATTTATTAATTTTTAAGGATAATACAATCTAATCATTTTTTTTCATTACGCTTAATAAATTACTTCTATAATAGTGAAATAAATTAAGGAGTTGAGAATTGTAAACTAATTATAGTTTTGGAATGAAAAGAAAAAACAATAGACATGAGATAAACCTAAAATATAACACTTTTAGTTTTTTAAATAATAAAATTCTACGTTGGTTTCCAAAATTTAATTATGTCAAAATGATTCAAAAAATTTGAAAAATAATTTAAGTTAAAAAATTATAACTTAAATTAAATTATATCTATTTATTCTTAATTCATGATTTATATAAGTTAAAATTAAATTAATCTATATTTTATAAAATAATAATATTTTTTTAAAATAAATATAAAAAAAATATTATTTTATTAAAAAAATATAATATATATTAATTTTATAAAAAATTTACTTATTTTAGTATCTAATGATAAATATTTATTATTATATTAAATCATAAAATTATTAAAAAATAATGATGATAATAATTAATAAAATTTTGTTTTTATTTTTATTTTAAAATTAAAATTTTAATAATTTTTATATTAAATAATTATATTTTAAATAAAATTTAATTTTATTAATATAATTTTTAAAATATTTTTTTTGGTTTTTTATTTTATCTTAAAAAAATTAATTCATTGCTATGATTTCATTAGTATCGTAGTTATATGATTTTGAAAATGATAAATTCATTGTTTTGTTACATATGTTTACTTGACTGAATTAAGTTTTTCATAATTGTAATAATAGTATGAAAAATTAAAATTACATCCGTACCTTAGATAAGTGTGTTAGACACAGTTTTTTTTTTTTAAGTTTATTTTTTCAACAAAATAAAAAGTTGTGTCAAGCATTATTAAGAAAACCTCTTAAAATAAGTAGTTTTTAAATAAAAAATTGTTAATTAAGAGTTTTAATTTGTGCATAGCTGATCTTTAAATATATCACCTTCTCCCTCAGGGAAAAAATGAAATCACAAAAAATTGAATTAAATCTTGCCAAGGTAACACTCTTTTTATGGTTTACTATTTTATTGTTTAGACATGTATAAAGGGAAAAAAATGGTAAAGATTTTATATAAAATTGCTGATTCATTAATTACTCATAATTTATATATTAATTTTAAATTATTTATTTAAATTTCCATAATATAAATCAATACTATTGCTATTTTCTAAATATTTTGACTTATTTAAAAATATCACTAAACAACTATATATAGACACATAAATATTTTATTAATTGAAGATTTATTTATATATCTTTAAATGTGTACTTTAATAAATTTTTTTTAGTAATATATTTTGCCCAACTTATTTTAAACCTGTAAGTTACTTTTAAGCTAAAGTTAAAAATAAAAGTTTAAATAAATAAATAAGAAGTCAAAGTTGTTTGTTAGTTTTGATTTTGATTTTGATTTTAACTAAAAAAGCTTATTATAACCTAAAAGACGTTTGATAATTTTTTAAAAACAAAATTATTTAAATTAATGTATCCAGTGAAAAAATATTTTACAAAACATTATCGCATATAGTTTTCTATTTTTTAATAAACGGGTAAAAAAAATATAATATTTTGTTTATTTATTTGATTTTATTTTAATAATATTCATATGAAAAAACACGTTAATTACTTGTTTAGTAGTTATTAAGAACAAAAGATAAAACATAATATTTGTTTCTGTAATCCATCGCATCTATATCTGAATTAAGGACAATTCAACATGATACGTAAAATGAAAAAAAGAAGTGAACATATGCATTTAAACTTAATTACTTAGTTTAAATATACATTAATATTGCATTCAAGTAATATATTTTGTTAAACTTTAGACTACACAAATTAATAGATAACTTTTTTTTTATTTACTTGTAGAGATTAATGTTACAACTTTATACACTTTGAGAAATACGAAGATTGTTTTACCCAAAAAATAAATAAAAGTCTCTAGTGAAGTCACTAGCAGGCAGATAATGTAATTTGTGTATATTCCCAATTTCAAAGGACCAGCAATCTGAAGATTTATGAACTCTGATTCACATATACAAAACAGGTGTGTGTGTGTGTGTGTGGGAGGTAATCCAGCTTGGCTAACGGTCTCGCCAGTGCACCACTGGACCGCGCAACACCCGATCAGATCCGTCCATCCACAGTCGGTGGTAACCACCCTCTCCCTCTCTCCTCCGCCTCCACCGCCGCTGCAAGCTCTCGCCGATTCCGATCACCATGTTCAAATTCCTCAAAGAGGTCGTTGGTGGATCTGGAACGGGCCTCAAGGATCTCCCATACAACATCGCCGAACCTTTCCCTTCCGCTTGGGGCTCCTGGACTCACTCTCGCGGCACCTCCAAGGTACTTGCCGCAATTTCCTTCCAATTCACCACTATAGTTTCACGAACACTTAAAATCTAGTACACCAATAAAGATAGAGAGAAGCGGAGAGTTTCAATTAGGTATTATACACTGAATATGTGTTCATGTATTTGGTTATTTCTTTGTATAACACTGCCACGTCACTGTTTCAGGACGACGGTTCTCTTGTCTCCGTCTTCTCTCTCTCGGGCTCCAATGCTCAGGATGGTCACTTAGCTGCTGCGCGCAACGGCGTCAAGCGTCTTCGAACTGTGAGTTACTTAATTTTTGAATTTTTAAGTTTTTTTTTTTTTTTTGGTTTGGATTGGTGGATTGGGTGGTTTTGATTGTGCTTTGTGGTGCTGGTTGTCAGGTTAGGCATCCGAATATCTTGTCGTTTCTTCACAGCGCTGAGATTGAGACTTATGATGGAGGTTCGCCGAAGGTTACGATATATATTGTGACTGAACCAGTGATGCCGCTATCCGAGAAAATCAAGGAGTTAGGGCTTGAAGGTACACAAAGGTATCAATTGAGTTATTATTGTTCCTTTAGGTGAAAAATTGTTGTTGCCATGCATGGAGTTCTAACATGATGCGTGATTTCTTGAGTTCAATTTCTAGGCATTGTAAATGGAGAATTTTTTAAACCATGACTTTAAAGTAGTTATTGGAAAATCAACATACTTACCATATCATGATTGCATAATAATGTAAAATCATTAACATTGTTAGTATATAGCTTATTTACGGTTGTTTATTTTCGTTTCTTTTAATTAGTGACTTTCAAGTATCAATTGAGTTATTGATATCATGCTTGCATAAGGTTCAAAAATTGCACATGACATGTTGTGACGTCCTTTTTTAGTCCATGAATTGAGGAATTGGTGGTAGTCACTTGTTTTTATTGGGCTATGTAGGGATGAATATTATGCTTTGGGTCTTCATCAAATTGCTAAAGCTGTGAGCTTCTTGAATAATGATTGTAAACTTGTAAGTATTTATGAGTTCTTTTCTTTTACCTCAGTTTTTTTATCGTTTTTTGACAAGTTTTATCTGTTGCAGGTTCATGGTAATGTTTGCTTGGCTAGTGTTGTTGTGACACCAACTTTGGACTGGAAGCTTCACGCTTTTGATGTTCTATCTGAGTTTGATGGGAGTAATGAAACGTCTTCTGGTCAAATGCTGGTATATACATGTTTCTGTGTGCAATATATTGTCTTATTAGTTTTAGCATTGCTATTTGAATTTACGTTAACACTTGAAAGACTATGGCACGCTTACTCTTTTGCCGACTTAAGTCTGTTGTCACATTTTGGTCATCTCTATCTTTTAGATTGTCATAAGAATTATGACAAATTTTATATTGTGGATGCTCCCTTGTAGTGATTTGACTTGGGCTTCTTTATTTAGAAATCAAAGTTATGGAATAGGGAGATTAAATATTGTCCTCACAAGTTTTCACACTTCCTGTCCAGCAATATGCATGGCTTGTTGCATCACAATACAAACCAATGGAGTTGGCGAAATCAGACTGGGATGCAATTAAGAAGTCTCCTCCATGGGCCATTGATTCTTGGGGCATGGGTATGTTGTTTTCTGTTCTTTTAGATACTAATTCATAGCGGTAGCAAATTAGTTTATATGGTGGAATATAACATTGAAGAACAATTATTTTTGTGTCTTTAGTTTCTAGCTTAGGGTGACATTTCAGTTCCTCTGCCATCTTCCAAGACTAGTCAATTGGTCATATGATCCCAACATATATTTTACATTTTTTTCTCATTTAGAATTGGGTAGTTCCTCTGAGGATATTAAATAAAATTGTTTTCTAGTTTGTGAAATTACACTAGGGGTGTTTTGAAAAATTTGAAACTAGTTTAAAATGAGACAACAAAGAACTGGTTACACAAGGTCATGTGAAAATAATCTGCTTCTTAATCAGGGTCCTCAGGCATAGTTAGGTTTAAAATTATCTGAGAATATGAAATGGAAAAGAGATAATATGGAAAATGTGGGACTAGAACAAAGGAAACTAAGAAAGTTGGATCAAACCAGTTTTATCCCATATTTAGCTTACATAAGAACAAGTTTTTATTGAATAACCAAACAACGTCTATAAAAAAATCAGCCCCACTCAGTCTATATATCTGGTTTTATAATTTTCCAACCATTCCCTGGTTTTCTTGTTTACATATTGCAGTTGCAATTAGTAGAATTTCTCCTTGGCCCACTTATATCTGGGGCTTGGGGATGTTTCATGCTAACCTGAAAGTTTGGATGTGTTTCCCTATGTAATATTTACTAATTATGTAAAACCTGTTCTTTCATTTGGAACTTTGCTAAGAATGTCTTCATGTGTTAGAAGAACTTGGCTACCTTTACTTTGGGAGAAAGTAATTTTAGTTTAAGCTATGACCAATTTGGATTGATATTGTAGGTTCATGCTGAATATTTTTTTACCACTGTCTGTTTTCCTTTCTATGGATACCTCTCTAACATATTTAACAATCATAATTTTATAGGTTGCCTAATTTATGAGGTATTCTCTGGTCTGAGGTTGGGCAAGACAGAAGAATTACGCAACACTGGTTCCATTCCCAAGGTCAGCAGCCTCTCTTTTTTTTTTCTCCTTCATGGTTTTATGACTGCATGTAGTAAGTTTGCTGGTTGCTTTTTATGTTTTATTTTTTTTGAAAATTCATTTTTCATTTTTTTGTCTCACAGTCTCTGCTTCCAGATTACCAACGACTGTTGAGTTCCCTACCCTCTCGTAGATTAAACACATCAAAGCTTATAGAAAATAGTGGTGAGCGCTCCTTGATAGATTTATACTTAATCATATATGGAAATGGTTCACCTAACATTGTGGTTGTTTTGCCTCTTTCTTTGAGGGATTCATGTGTTTTGTGGTTTATATTGTAAGCTATATGGGAGATAAACATCAGAAAATTTTAATGATTTTTTTTTACCATTTCATGGTAAAATATGCAAAAAATAATCTGGGTGGTAAAATGTGCATTGAGCCTTATGTAATATAGTCTTGGATGTGCTTACCTATAGATAATACCTAATTGCATGTTTTGTATGAGTAAGATAGAATATATGAGTTGCAATTTTAACAAGAAATAAAATGAAAATGAATTGCAAGTAGAAATAAGGGAAAATGTCCTGTTAGAGGTTTCTAAGTTTAAATATTTGGATATCAATAATACAGAATGATGGGTAAATTGATGATGTTACAGACATCCAGGTTAATAAAATTGAGAAAGATGCGGTGAGTTATTTGTGATTGCAAATTACCTAATAGACTTAAAGGAAAGTGTTATCTGTACTGCTATACATTTAACTATACTTTATGGTATGAATATTGGGGTTTAAAGGAACAATGACATAAAAAGGTGAGAGTAGAAAAATGAAAATGTAAAGTTGGATGTGTGGCTACATAAGCAAGGATAAGATATAAACAATTAGAGTATATACTAAGAGATACTGGTCTAGGGCCAATTGAAAGACAGATGACAAAAGATTGGTTAAGGTAGTGTGAAGATGTGTAAAGAAGGCCATGAGAAGCAACACAGAGGAAAGTAGATGGTTGGTAGTTGAAAAGAGAGATCTCATGGTGAATAATATCCCTTGTTGGAAATCTCACATCGCCTGTCTCATGTGATGTGGTATGGTTTAAATACCTGTTAGACTACTTTATATATTGCCAATTGGTTTTATGTTAGAACCTTAACATGGTATCAGAGGTAAAACCTAACTTTTTTCCGGTTATTGTCTTGGGTCAAAAGTTGCCTAGTCCGACAAGTTTCGTTAGAGGGGTCGTGTTGGAAGTCCCACATCACCTGTCTCATGTCATGTGGTATGGTTTAAATACCTATTAGGTTATTTCACATATTGCCAATTGGTTTTATGTTAGAATCTTAATATTTCGGATAATTTGGTCTTCAGCTGAGCCTACTGATGTCATGCAATCCATGTATCTGACTTCACCTAGTGGGATACGACTGTTATTGTTTTAGTTTCTTGGGAATAAGATTGATTATGCAAGAAAAAGAAGAAAAGAGGAATTCACTTTGTCATGGTACTGTGTATGTGGAGCGATGGTGGTTATTTAAATAGTGAAATTAGCATCTTTTAATGTAAATTTTAGCTTGTCCAGATTTTGATGGTGATTTTTCTGCTTCATGATCACCTGCAAACAAGCAAGAAAATTTGCTTTAGTAATTGAATAACTCATTCTATCTAAACATTGCCTTTCATCTTTTGATTTTGTCATAATTTGGGCTCCTTATATGATTTATGCAAATCTTTTTATATAGTTTTGAGTTTTTCAATAATGGATATGCAGAATACTTTCAAAATAAGCTGGTAGACACAATACATTTCATGGAAATTCTCAGTTTAAAAGATAGTGTGGAGAGGGACACCTTCTTCCGCAAGCTTCCAAATTTAGCTGAGCAACTTCCTCGCCAAATAGTGTTGAAGAAGGTATATTTCTGTTTTCTAATTATAAACTATAATCGGATCAACTTCTATTATCCATTTATGATTCTTATGTTTTTTATTTTCAGTTACTTCCTTTATTAGCTTCTGCCCTTGAATTTGGTTCAGCTGCTGCCTCAGCTTTGACTGCCCTGTTGAAAATGGGTTCCTGGCTTTCAGCTGAGGAGTTTAACGTCAAGGTAAATAATATTATCATACTTTCATGTAAACCATTTTCTTTTCCCTTTCACACTGTGCATAACTTTATTTACACTTTTAATTAGGATTCAACCTCATTCTTATATTGGATTTTCATATTCATATCTAGGTACTTCCTACAATAGTTAAACTCTTTGCCTCCAATGATCGAGCTATTCGAGTTGGCCTTCTCCAACATATTGATCAATATGGAGAGTCTTTATCAGCACAAGTTGTTGATGAGCAAGTATGCACTCAATTTCTCTACCTTTTTTTGGTTCTTGACAATTCCTTTTTGTTGGATATACTAACATTCCTGTCACAATGTGAATAATTTAAAATTCTTATCGACACATAATTAGGTTTACCCTCATGTTGCTACTGGGTTCTCTGACACATCTGCTTTTCTCAGAGAACTCACTCTGAAGTCTATGTTAATTCTAGCTCCCAAGGTATGCCTTTTATATATTGATATTGATGAATCTTGCCTTTTGCCTTTGTTTCATTTTTAAAATTTAGAAGTGTTATTGGTCTCATTGGAATGTAAGATGTGTGTAAAATTTACAGCTGATTGGTGTTTGTATAGCATGTTTGACCCTACTTTTATGAAATTTACATTGAGAAATATCTGTTTGAGGGGAGTGATGACACCTACTGCATTATCTATGTTTAGTAAGCGATTGCCTTTTTCTAATAAAACAGAGGTCTAAGTTGTGTCAGAGCTAGGGAAATTGTACAGATCTTTTATTTTTCTTTGGTCTATTTTTACCATCTCTTTAAATATACTTTTTTAATAAATGTCTTCTAAGAGGCTCAGATATGGTGATTGTAAGATTGGTGCAGGTAAATGATTAATTCACTTCAATGAGATCCATAGTTTGCTTTAGATTGATATTTATAATACTGAATGTTCATCAAAGTCTGATCAACTTGTAAAGTATTATGTACTAGAGCTGGACGCCTGTATCTTTATTGTTCCTTTCTTTTATTAGTTTCCCCTCCTAACCCAAATCATATTGTCTATTTATTTGGTGAAAATTTTCTGGACAATTGTTCGTTAAAATGTGGTTTGTGTCATAATTGCAGTTGTCTCAAAGAACCATTTCAGGGTCATTATTGAAGTATCTGTCAAAGTTGCAGGTACTACCTTGACAAGTTTTGTGTAGTAAATTAAAAGGCTAGCTGCTTGTTTGTAACTGAAGAAGTGATGAATCGGGAAGGCTCTTCTTTTGTTTTAGTTATTGTTTTTAAATTGTTTGGCTGTTTCTAAGAATTTGGACACAAGAGACCGACATGGTGACAGAAAATAATTGGAAGTGTCCCATTAGAATTTTATAATCTATTGATTAGGACAGCTCCTTTTGTGAAGCATACTTGTTTGTTTCCCATCTTTATATCTCAAAATTTACTGATAATTTGACTGCCAATTTTGATTGGAACAAAATTTTATTTAGGGGAATGTCACATTTTTATTTCTATTATTTGCTTTTCATGTTCATGTCTTCATGGTTTTTCCATTTCTAAAAATCTATAACATCTGCATTTTCTTGTAGGTTGATGAAGAACCAGCAATTAGAACAAATACAACCATATTATTAGGCAATATTGGAAGTTACTTAAACGAAGGGGTATGTTCCAAATGCTATCTGAAATTCAAATAGTTTGCTCTGTATTATTTAATTATGTTATAGCATATTTTTCATTGGTGAATTAACTTTGAATCTATTTTGCAGACAAGAAAAAGAGTATTGATTAATGCATTTACAGTCCGTGCATTACGTGATACTTTTCCACCTGCTAGAGGAGCAGGTATCAGATTCATACACTTGTCCCTATAACTTTCTTCATTGTTACACTTCTCCTCCAACATTCTTTTCACTTAATTTTGAATTTTTATTATTCAGGCATTATGGCTTTATGCGCAACCAGTTCCTATTATGACATCACTGAAGTTGCAACCCGGATTCTTCCTAATGTGGTTGTGCTCACAATTGATCCTGACAGGTTATATCTCACTATAAGTTTTTATTTCTTATATTCCTTTTACCATATGAAAATGATGAATATTCCAGTGACTTAATTTAGCCCAATAATTAGTATTTAGTAGGTTGATTCATCGTTTTGGTTTTGTAATTTATAGCTGTTCAAATGCCTTTTTTTCCCCTAAATTATATATTGATATACTTAGTGGATCTTCTTTGTATTTGTGTTTATATTTGTGCGATGCAATGTTTTGTTTGTTTTTTCTTGTGTTTAGATTCTATAGAGATCATTTTATTGTTGTACTGTGGGTTATTTGGTCAATTTTGAGACATTGATTGCACACTGTTCTTGTCATGGTTTAAACAGTGATGTTAGAACTAAGGCATTTCAAGCGGTTGATCAGTTTTTGCAGATAGCCAAGCAACACTATGAAAAGGTATACACTGAAATTGTTTTTGGCTGTTATTCTGATGGTTATCATGGTTCCCAAATCAGCCAGCTGTGTAATGTATATCTTTTATCAATACATGTCTATCTTTTACACTTCATATCTGATAATATACTTTCCCCCCACTACTAGTATCCTTATTAATTTTTGTAATTAAATAAAAGATCTGTAATAAAGAAACTCATTGAGAAATCATCATTTCATAGACTAATAATGTTTTTGAATGATCATCTGGTGTTATGCATTCTGTTAAAAGACAAATGCAGCAGATACGATTGGTGGTGCAAGTGTGGTAGGCTCATCTGTTCCAGGAAATGCTAGTTTGCTTGGGTAAGTCAGTTCAATCATTGTGCAATTGATAGTTCAAATATTAAGCAAGGGAGAGAAACGGATAGTTAATATGAACTTATGATTTTAGATTTCATTTCGTTAGTACTTAGTATGTGTAGAGTAGCTATTTTTTCATTCAAAAATAGCTTTATTGTTAAAAATCTCTTCAAGAATTTTTCATTGGAAAAACTTAAAGTTAAAGTAACTAACTCAAACACGTGTAAGGTAACCCTTTTCTTCAGTGCGAATGAACTACATAATAATAGCTGATTTTTGTTTTGTACAATAAAGAGCTTTATTAATATGTTATTTCTAATCTAATTTTAAACTCTTAATTTGCCACATCTAAGATCATGATAAATGGGGAGGACCTCTGATGATGATTAAATAAAAGCTTTGCATTTTACTTCTTACTGATGATATACTCATGCATGCAGACATTCATACTTGCATACTAATATTTGTGATATGATTGTTAGAATATATAAAAAGTATCCAAGAGTGTCTTGGTTATCTTAGAATATCTTTTTGCATCACATATATCATCTTATCTTTTTAGGATCCTTATCTAGGGATATTAGCTTTAGGATTTGTTCTGTCAATTAAGAGTATGGTATTAGCATAGATAGATATGTGTTAGAGTTTCATGTTTTTCATCTAATTTTAGCATATCACAAAAAATATTAGTCCAAGTCTTTCTTCCCTCAATTCCCTTCTTCAAATCTAGGATTTCATAATTCATCAATGATCTTAAAACACAAGATATTGTCTATATTTTGGGAAGCATTAAATTGATTGCAGATTCATAATATATAAATTCGTAAAATTGGTAGGAACCCACTATTAGTACATCTATCGATTTCAGGAGGCACATTAGTATAGCCGTTACGGGTGTTCGTGATGCTGTTTGATCAAGTATTTTACTAAAAACTCACTAAAACAAACATAAAGATAAAATTTAAATTCAATTCGGTTTGGTTTGGTTTGACTTTCATTTTTTAATGAATCTGAACCAAACCAAACCAATATTTTACAGTTTGGTTTGAGTGTTTATTTTTTATTATTATAAATTTGTTAAACATATTATAATAAATTAATTGTTCAATAAAGAAACATATTATAAAAACATGATGCATAATCAATTATGATATTCATAATTTCAATTTGTTTCCATATGCTTCCACATTTAGTTTAAAAATTAACAATAAATGTCTTAAATTATAAGAAACTAATTGGCTCACTCACAATAATTGTCGTTTTATGTTTTAATTTCAGTAATATATATATATATATATATATATATATATATATATTTCGATTGGGTTCAATTTAGGTTGGTTCTTGATTATCAAACTGAAAACTAAACCGAACCAATTAGTTTTAAAAATATTCAATCTAAAAAGTTTTAATTTAATCAGTTCTATTTTTGGATTAGTTCGGTTTTGAACACCTCTAACTGCTGCTTATTAGTTCTATGAATGACTGTCATCAAGTTAGTTTCTAATTCTAATACAGAACTGTTAATGTAGGATAAGTAATTATCTACCACATTTCTAACAATACGTTACTGTTCTTAACTTCTACCCATCACTGCCAACATGACTTTTATTATTGCACTTGTATCTAATAATACATGATTTCTCTTAATAGTTATTGTTGGTTTCCTCCCACATATATATATATATATATATATATATATATATATATATATATATATATATATATATATATATATATATATATATATATATATTTTTTTTTTTTTTTTTTTTTTCATCAAGAAGTTGGTACTGATATAGATCTTGTTACCATTCAGATGGGCTATGAGCTCTTTGACCTTGAAGGGTAAACCTTCTGATCATGCTCCAGTTGCTTCTGCAATTTCGTCTACAATTACAACATCTTCTAATGGAACCACAGGTATAGCTTATCCTATATGTGAAATGCAAGAGAATATAGGAAACAATGAAATTAGCAGTGTGGTCTGTCTGTCATTATCTCTAGTTTCATTAACAAAGAGTTGCAGAAAATCTAAACCATTACAATGCAAGTGCAGTCATTTTGGTCTTCCAAATTTAGCTTACTCTATCAAGCATAGAAAGTGACTCAATTGGTCCTCCAAAGATAAGTGACTTTGATTTAGTCCCTCAATCGAGAGAATATGAATTTAGTTCGACAGTGCAATCAATTAGTCCCTCAGTCGGAAGATGAATAAACAGTGTGTACAGTCCATAAACAAACAGACATTTTTTTTTGTCACATTTCTTGTTTGGTTTACTAAATTGATGTCATGCATTTTTTGGAGGATTGGTCTTGCCTGAATCACCTGACTTTAGGTAATAGATATGATTTGGTATTTAATTGATTTTATTTTAACTGTTGAATAAAGAGAAAAAAAAGGAACAAAAATAGAAAAACACCAGGGAAGATTCTGCTTCTATATCTGATATGTTGAAGGTGCCTTAATTGATTTTGCTTAATTAGGGCAGCTTCCTTACATGAGTACTTTTTGACAAAATTTAACCATGTTCATTTAATTTTGTTGGGGGGAAATTCAGGCATAGAGACGCCATCTACAGCACCAGCCCGTATAAGCTCCACAACAGATTTCTCCGCAACAGATTTGGCGGAACACCCTGTCCCAACATCTCCTACATCAACGGATGGCTGGGGGGAACTTGAGAATGGAATTCAAGACGAGCATGAAAGTGACAGGGATGGGTGGGATGAACTGGAACCACTTGAAGAGACAAAGCCAGCTCCCGCTCTTGCAAACATTCAAGCAGCTCAAAGGCGGCCTGTTTCTCAACCTATTTCACAAACAAAACAAGGTAGTTTTTATTTCTCTGTTAGTGTTTTGGTATGTGTTTCCCTGATTGCAAGTTGCTAGTAAATATTAATAATTTTCAGTGTCTAATTGAAAGTCATAAGCTTCAGTTGTGCCAAACCTGTAAAGAACTACTTGGAAACTTCTTGTTGCATCTTGTGCCTGGTTATGATAAGAACCACGAGTTCAAAAACTGTTTGGTGTTTTTTTGTCTATGAATGATGTGAGTGTATGAATTTCAAATTCAAGTTTGCACTCTGCTCTAAATGTTGGATTTGCATTTCTGTTAATTACTCATCTTGTTAAGAAACGCACTGAGCTTTTGTCATTTATGTGGCTTGGGATCTGTACATGAATGTTTTGACAATTTTCAGGAAAATCCGCAAGTATACATTTGCCTGTATTAATTACATCCTTTTTTTAATTCTAGCATCAAATTGGCTGTCCAAAAGTACATCAAAATTGAACAAGGATGAGGATGATGATTTGTGGGGATCTATAGCAGCTCCTGCTCCGAAAACTGCAAGACCTTTGAAAACAGGTCAAACTGATGATGATGATCCTTGGGCTGCCATTGCTGCTCCGGCACCCACTACGAAGGCCAAGCCCTTATCCACTAGCAGAGGTAGGGTAACCAAACCTTCTGCTCCAAAATTAGGTGCTCAGCGGATAAACCGAACATCATCAGGCATGTAATACAAATTGCCAATGCCAAGGAACAAAAGGACGGCGAAAGAATTAATCTTAGTGCTAGTTGCCCTTTTCTTCTGGTGGCACTGATCGCGTTGAAATACAAGAACCCGTCTCTATGATATATGAATTACATTTGTGATTTTATTGACAAAATTGATTTGTAATACTATTCTTTTGCATGCCAAGAATTTTACATGAGGGAGCATCTTCTGAGTTGTTGTAAGGCAACAAGGTTGTGTTATATTTGCTGCTTAGTTTGGGGTGTTTTAACTTTTTTATTTGATGGACCAATTATCAGATGTAATGTAATTAGTTTTTGATAATATGTAGAACAGTTTTTGGTACTGTTTACGGTTCAAATTTTGTTCAGTTTGCATGCATGCAACATCTCTCTCTATTCAATGTGACTAGCGATAAATTCCCTACGAATAGGAAAGATTAAAACTGAAACACTCGAAATCGTGTTGAAAAACTGCTTAAAGTAATTTTAGGTAAATGTTTACATGCATGATTTATATTACGAAATCAATTTTAATTGAGTTTAATTTGAAGTCATTTTAAATAGGTTTTGTATTCGGGATAAAAAGAAACTAAATGTCAAATTTTGTTAATAATTTATTTAAGAAAAACATTCATATATAGATAATTTTCTTTAAAATTAATTTTATAAAATTCTTGTCCAACCGTGTCCTTAAAATCTACGTATAATGTTTTAAAAATACATTTCGAAAATTAATATCATAATGCATTTATGAGACACTTACAACTTTCTACAAATTACAAAATTAGTTTCCAAAAACATTTTTTTAGAAAAAAAGGATATATGCGAAATGAATAAGCCTAAGGAATGCAAATAAAATTATAATTCATTTTATAAATAAATTAAATAAAACCGTGAGAAAGTTTATAAATGACAAATGATGTGATGGTTCGTCTATTGAATCACCACTAGCCATCTTGCACATGGCAACTTACGGAAACAAACTACTATTTGTTTGTTTTTTTTTTTTTTTTTCAGGAAAACCAGAAAAGTAATACTAAAATACACTAAAAAACTTATGCTTCAAGAGAAAATAAATATTTTCAAATTATGCTTCAGCCAGACATCACATGCCTGCACAGAGTAAACTTATTTATTAATACTATTTAAAAACCGTATCATTGATTTTCTGCTAATCATAGAAAGTCATGAAACTGTAATAAAATATTGAAATAGTTATTAATGGTTATTTTTGCCCAAGAAGAGCAGAGGATATATTGAAGAGAAATAAAATGAAGTGAAAGCAACACGCCCTGAATTACAGAGAGATATGAAAAGGGTAATGGGAGGAGTTGGAGTACCCTCAATCTCTATCTGTTGTTTGTTCCAAACAGGACCCCCCAGAAGTTTGAGTCTCAAGTTCAGATTGAAACCTTCATTTTCACATTCAATCACTACCATGGCATTGACCAATAACACCAATGAAAGGAAGCTTCCTATTCTGCTATTTGATATCATGGACACCCTTGTTCGTGACCCTTTCTACCAAGATGTCCCTGCCTTCTTCGGAATGCCTTTGAAGGAGCTCATAGATATCAAGCATCCCACTGCTTGGATTGAGTTTGAAAAGGGTCTCATAGATGAGGTAAAAAAACCAACTCTGATAATTCATTGCTGCAAAGTATGGAGTATGGAACCTGTTTCTTGTTATGTGTAAAGGACAAAAATTTTGACAGAAATTGAACTGGAATCTGGATTTTGAGTTGAATTGCCCTTGGGGTGTTTGATGAGTTTACAAAGCTCTCTGTCGTGTGTCATGTATGCTTATCTTCTCCTCAACTTATTGTGTAACCATGTTTGGGTAAAGGGTCATTTTGAATCTTCTAATTGTATAACATATGATTGGAAGGAGGGAAGGGGAAGCCAAAGATTTCAATGAAGAGGAAATGAGGGAATAGATGCTCCCTTGTTGGTTCAATTCAAGAGAAAGGCAGAAAAAGGGCATTTTTTGTTGTGAAATTAAAAAAGAAAAAAAAAAAAAGAGAGAAGGGCTTGCAATACACACTCTAACGCACACATCTAATGGTTAAATTTTATCTATAAAATCATAAGAGATTCATTATATAAGACTTCATATCCAAACAAGCTTGAGACATTCACTAAATTTCCGTCTGAGTAAAGAGTGTGTTCAAAGATTGTATTAGGGAGCATGTTTCTAACATTTCTCTTAAGAAAATTCCTCCACTCATTTCCATTTTCCTCCAACCAACTGTAAGAATTAATGGTTAAGTTCAAGAGCGGGGATGAATTGAACTTTAGAAATCTTTTTTGAAAAACACTCTTTCTTTGTGGAAGAATGATTAATCTTTATCCAATCTTTTATTAGGCAGATTTGGTTTTAAACAAAGCAAGAATATAAACCAGAAATGAAAAGAGATGAAAGCAGAAATATAACACAAGAGTTTATACTGGTTCACTCTTTCCAAGAGCTACATCCAGTTCTTGACAAATCTGTCAAGTTCCACTAATACCAAGTGAAAATACAAACCAGTAGATATACACCAATTTATCCCAAGAACTACCTTACAATACCACAAGATAGACTCTTGAAAAACTACCCAGCAACCAAACCCAGTTACTGTAACCAGTGCAGATTCAAACTCAATCTACACAATTAGAATTCGTACAAGTATATGAAAAGAATAAACTTGGACTGCAGCTTTTACAATATAGAAGTCCAGAAACAATTTTTCTAATTCAGAACTTTCTCTCTTGATGATCTTTCAACAATCTTGATCAAAACGCCTTATGATATGAAAAGTTTATGAATGCTCAGAGAAAGACACGAATATGAGAGCTCCAAGATTGTTTTCAATCGTTTTCTAAATTGTATTTTTGAAAGAGAAATCAAAATTGTATTTATAGAGTAAAAGAGAGGGACTGATAGATTCAATCGATTTAAAATGATGTTTCAATCGATTGATTTCATTTAAAACTCATTTAATCGGTTAATTCGAGCTTTCAATGGATTGAAACAGTTAGAAGAAAAATGGTAGCTCTCTGTTTCAACAGATTAAAATATATTTCAACAGATTGAAATTCTGAGATACCTTAAAATGAAAAATGATATCTCTCTGTTTCAACAGATTAAAATTTATTTCAACAGATTGAAATTCTGAGATACTTTAAAATGAAAAATGACATCTATCTGTTTCAACAGATTGAACTTGATTTCAACAGATTAAAATTCTGATATACTTTTGAAATGAAAAATGGCTAGAACATTTTAATCTGTTGATCTATTGATTTCTCAATTCAACAGATTAATACTGCGAACCCCTTAATATGAAAAACCATCAAGAACATTTTAACTTGTTGATTCTGCGATTCAATCAATTAAAATTTTGGCTGTATATGTACATTTCCTATTTTAAGTGATTTTAACAGATTAAAACTGTTTTTTAACATATTGAAAAACTCAGTTTGTTCTTTTAATGCTTAAAGATTGGTTTTTCATGCAGTAAAATAAGTTATATGAAATGCAACATTTATAGGCGCTTATCACAAGATCTACCGAAACTATCAAGAGATTAAATTCTAAACCTATAACCTATCTACCTACACATCCACAAATTATAAACTCTATATGTCTTCATCAAATCTAACAAGTGCTTCACCAACCACACTTGCTTTTACTGCTATTCATTGAATTCTAATTAATTATAATTTCTGCGTAGAATGGTTTAAAAGTCTCTACTTTCAACAACAGCTTTCTTATCAATCTGTCTCATTTTCTTCCAGATGGAGCTAGCAAGAAAATTTTTTAAGGATGGAAGGGATTTTGATTTAGAAGGTTGGTCTAAGACTTTGTTGCTAATAGACCTTAATCATGTTTATATTTAATTAAACTGACATAACTTAATCATACTCTATATTTCTGTTTCATTTGGATACATTAAAAATCTATCTGTTTCTCTCTTTTGTTTGAAAATTAGAGTTCGCATGTTGTGAAATTTTAGTTAAAGATCAAGCTGATACAGAGGAGTTGAAAGCTATGGTCCTTCCTTGTGGTCTACTTTGAGAATTATATACACTCCAGAATATGTTAACTTTTTGGTTACTTTTGCTGTAAATGAATGTTGTGAGTTTGACTCTGAAAGTTATACGAATCTTTATGAGAATTTATGTCAATACAAGACGATTTTTGCGCTTGCATTAATTTCCTTAGTTATTTGTTTGTCTGTTACTTGTCTACCAATGTTTGACGTAATTTTTCTCATAAAATTTATAATAACCTATTTAACAAGGTATGAAATTGTTTTGATGCTAAATATCAAAGGCATTTTTTATGTTTTGGGTTGCTTTAAATAGAGCTGCAGATTACTACTGTTCATAATGTCAACTATATTTAGCAAGAAATTGTTTCACATCATTTGATGGATCTCAAATGGATTTTAATTGTGTGATTGTTTATCACTGATAAAAGTAGCAGGTTCTAATGACTCATTAATCTTTGTTCTCCTTTTTGCTTTTCTCTTACCAGAGAATGGAAAGTCAAAGAAGCTTAAATTGTAAAACAAAAAGCTAACTGAAGGAGTGCTATCTGATTGTTTCATACCTCTTATTTCATTATTTAAGACAAAGGCCTCACACACTCTTCTGCTCACTCCATATACATCATATTTGGCTATTTGCATGGTTTTCATTCTGATTTATGACATGACTTGTGATTTTATTTTGCTAGACTTATGGTTAAATTGTTTGGCCAATTCCTAGTTTAAAATGTTGAATTAAATTCACTATGCATAATTTTTATTAGATAAACTATTTTTCTTTTACTTTTTAGTCTTATGACTTGATACACCATGATTAAAAAATTAGCTTGACAGTTGATCACGATTTGAATAGTTCTTGATGACCTTGCCATGAACAAGACCCTCAATCCCCTACATATATGATTGTTATTAGCCTCCCTTGTCCTTTTCAAAATTGGTCTATACTTCTGATGCCAACATTGACTTACATGTGTGTTTCTTATTTTCTGACAGGCCTTAAAACTTGTATGAGAAGTGGATATTCGTACATAGAAGGCATCGAACAGTTGCTTTTTTCCTTGAAGAAAAACAATTATGAGATGCATGCTTTTACAAACTATCCTATATGGTAATCTAGTTGCTTTGCTACTGTGATTTGTGTTTCTCTGTTCACTGCATATCACTGAATGTTTTGTATTGTAGGTACCAGTTGATTGATGACAAGTTAAAACTATCAAAATATTTATCATGGACATTTTGTTCGTGCACATTTGGTATACAAATAATTTCTCTCTGTCTATTTTGATGCCTCTTAGATTGATAAGCTTCTCATTTATTAACTTCTAGATTCTAGTGGACAAAACAAAGGCATGATTCTATTTTTTCCTATTTCGCTTTGTTGTTTGTTATTGAGAGCTAAAAGCATTCATTCAAACTATCCTACATTGTAAGCTTTATAGCTCCATTCACAATGTGTTTCAGGAAAGAGGAAGCCTGATACTGAATTCTATAAGGAAGTTGTGAGGCATCTTAATGTTGATCCAACAGATTGTATTTTCGTAGATGACAGGTTCTCACTTTCTTTATACACTAGATCATTTATCAAAATCAAACCACAGTATCACATCAGTTATCTTTGGTACATTCATATATACAGGTCTGTGTTTCAAGTAATATCAGTTTATTTCTCTTTCAAGATGCAGACATTGGTGACCCCATCAGCAGATTATTTCTTATTCCTCCCTGTCACAATCTTTTTTTAATCTTCCATGAAAATGATTTTTTAAAAGAAAAAATATATCTTTAATATGAATCATTGTGGTTTTAGTCTTGTAATTTTTCTTCTTGGTTTTGTTCATCATAAATTTTAAAATGTTATAAAATGGTCCCTATTATCTTGGTAATCATGATTTGATACACAGTTACATGCCTAGTCATGCCATGTCACATATCAATGCATAATAGACTCGTCATCACATGTTATATGCATGTCATGTCATTACTATGTGCTGATAGATTACTTTAAAATAAATTAAAATATGAGGACTAGCAGTAGGTTTTTAAAGTGTGTGAGATTTACATGACTATTGTATCAGGCAAACAAATGTGGAGGCTGCAACCGAAGTTGGCATCAAAGGTGTTCATTTCAAGAATGTCGATTTACTATGTGAAAAACTCTCAATGATGGGAATTGACATTTGAGCACATGACGAATGATAGCTTATTTTTTTGGTTCACTTTCTTAACTACACCCATTTATTTTTCTTGGTTTATTATCCATTCAAACCAAGCTCTGGATCTTTGTTATAGTAACTTCTGATTGAGGGTGCTTATTATAGGAGTGAAAATGAGGTTGGTGAATATAGTCAAATGTTTAGAGACATGATGCACCTTTTGGTGAAAGCCATGGGAGACTCAAAATGATGTTGTTCTACACCCTGTTATATGGATGTTAGTTTTTCTTACATATTTCTATGTTAACAATTGGTTCATCCATGCAATTGGTGTGGAATTTGCAAGACTACAAGGAATGAATAGAAAGCAAGTTATATAATTTTTAAAATATTCTGTTCTAGTCCGATCCGACTCACTTTGTATGAATTTTTTGGTTTGAGAAAAAAAAGAAGAAAAAACTCGATTTGTTTAGATTCACTGTCCTGTGAGGATTTGCATATACGTCATTTCAAATCGAATAATAATTTAAAATACTTTTTTTGTAATAATAAAAAAAAAATTGTTTCGTATAATATAACGTATAAAATAAAAAGAGGAATGCATATTGGTAAAAAAAAAATGTGAGAATTGATCATGTTTTGAAAAATTTAAAATAATTAACTGTTTTAATTACAAGTTTTAAAATATAATTATGCTACATATTCAACAGAATTTTTTGTCATCTACAATCATCTTATTTTAAGAACATAGAATTTAGTTTTGCATTATCAGATCAGACATGTTTCTTCACACAACAAAATAATAAACACGAGTTTTTTTTTATTAAATAGATAATCATCACATGTAAGAGAGTGACTAATCAATAGACCAACATCATGATAAAGGTTTTTTTTTTAATTATATTAAATACTAATTTTTTAAGATTAATTTTTTAATTTACTAAGTTCAATTTGATGCATTTTAAAATAATTTCTATTATATATTAACATATATTATTTTTTGAAAAAGAAGCAATGTAAAAGAGAAAAAGTAGTATATAATAATAATAATAATCACCTATAACTTTAAATTTATTATTAGATTATGTTGCATAAAAATTTATTATTGGATCATGGTAATTTATTGAGACAGTTTTTTTATAGCGAGAAAAAGGATAGAGTGGAAGTGAAGATATCTGGAGCAAAGGGTGGTGGGTGAGTTGCGTTTTTTGTTTGGAAGCAGAAGGAAACATGTCGTGGTGTTACTGTGCTAAGCCCTTCACCTTGCAACTGCAGTTGCACTCAAGACCATCATCTTCATCATCGTTCCATTCCCACGTTGGAGGAGTAACATCAGCAACCTCCACACTGTCTCTTCGACCCTCTCTTTCTCTTGTTTTCACCCACAATCTCCACTTCCAACCCAAACTCCAACGCGCTTCCACAACCATTCGATGCTCCTCTGGTACTGCCACCCCTCTTTCCTTTCATGGGTTTCATTTAAAACACGCTAAAGTTTCAATCTTTAAGGTTCCCATATGAATTGCAAGCTTCAACTTCTCACAACTCACCCCAACCCCTTTTTGGGTATAGCTCCTATTCAATAAATTAAGGATCCCTTTGTTATCAAAACAGGAAGGGTGATACAATATTTTCACCATACAAATATTTTAGACATGTGCAGTTACTGCACCATTTGTGATATTGTTTTCCTATCATAATTGGGGTGTTATCGCATTAATTTACACACTAGAAGTTTGAACAGTATGCATACTAAATGTGGGAAAGCTCCAATTCTGATTCGAGAACAGGTAAATACTTAGGTTTGTTTGATTTCTATTTTCGAAAACTACTTAGTTTTTAGAATGCAATTAGGTTGTATAGACATCTGGTGGAGGGTGGTGCAAAACACTGGTGAGGTGTGTGGAATTGAGGGAGAGGTTGAACAATTATCTATTTTGGCTTTGAAACACTTGTGTTGAAAACAATTTTCAAAAATCTTAAATCAATTTTGGATCAGAAATTGATTGCTGGATAACGGAATAGTGTGAAATTGTGTTAGAAAACAGTTTTAAAACCAAAAAGTAAAAAGTGAATCGAATCAACTCCTAAGAACTCCATTTAGCTATTGTATTCTTCTTTAACGATTACAGAAGCTGGGATTATAACTTTGGGTTTTGGTTTGTTTCAGCGTTGACACCTCAATTGAAGTCTACCTTGGATACAGTTATTGCTTCAAATAAAATAGTTCTGTTTATGAAGGGAACTAAGGACTTTCCACAGTGTGGGTTCTCAAACACAGTGGTGCAAATATTGAAGTCTCTAAATGTGCCTTTTGAAACCATAAACGTGCTTGAAAATGACTTGTTACGCCAAGGACTGAAGGAGTACTCCAGTTGGCCTACCTTTCCTCAACTGTACATAGAAGGAGAGTTTTTTGGTGGCTGTGATATCACTGTTGGTATGCAATATGTGACTCAAGTTACTGGTTTAATAGTTAATTTTGTCATCATCGTTGTTTGCTACTATAAGAGTCTCATCATTATCTTGTTTTTCTGATGCTTATAATTTGATTTGCCTCACTAGTGGAATCATTTAAAATGATTGGGATGAACCAGCTGTTGCAAAAGCTGAAGTTTTAGATTTAGGGGTGTCAATAGTTTATATCATATCTCTAATAGTGATGCAAAGGGATAGTAAATTAGTAACTATAAATAAGAGAGCCAAAATAGACACCTTAAAGGGAAGAGCTATATAATAAATTTCACATTCTATATTTGACCGAGGAAATATGCAGACCAAGTTGCTTCTAGTAATTAACATCTTACAGTTTATGGAAATAGTGTTGCATAAAACTTAGATGCAGTTCCTTAGATGGTTTTTGGTGTTCTCCACTAAAAATATTGAAATTTCACCTCTTACATAATAAAGGTTTACATTAAAGGTTATCATTAGTTACAATAGATAAAACACCCATTCTAATGAAAGAACAACACACAATTAGTTTTTTCCAATATTATTCAAGGATTAGCCTACACTACAACTTTCTTCTCATTCTTTGGATATTTTACAAATGAAACATATTACGTGGCTGATTTAAATGAAAAATTACAAATGCCAAGGCTTACCAGATTGATTTGAATGTGTAACATGAAGATAAAAATTGTATTATACCATGACAAAGACATTGTTTTATAATCAGCTATTTCCAAATTGATGCCTACAAAATGCTGGAGTACACTGCACACTAATCCTTATTTGTTACCTGCTTTATTACCCAAATACATATCTTAGTTCTTGCAATCAATTATAATAATTGAAAGAAACAAAAGTTGTTACTTTCGAACAGGTCCTCATGCTTTCATCTGTTTAGCCTGATGTCATCATTGACTTATTAAAAATCAGCTTTTAGATTTATCTTTTTCACACTAGATCTAACCATATTATTACATCACCAGTAGATTTCTAGACAATACTTGCCTTCTTCTCACTTTTTTGTGTGGCTGCAGAGGCATATAAGAATGGGGAATTGCAGGAGCTGTTGGAGAAGGCAATATTGTCCTGAAAACCATGGAAGAAATGAGAGGACTTTCATGTTTGTAATCTTCCCAAGTTATACTTTGGCTCAGTGATAATGGACTGATAATGGACCAAATAAATTGTCCGATGCTTTTTGTGTCCACAATTCCCTATTATGATTACTGTACTACAAATCCTGGTATTTGAGTATAAAACAGACAAGTCATTTGATGATATCTCATTAGAGAGACTATTTATTATAGTACTAGTTGCTACTGCAAAATCTGTTGAATCAACTGTTTGAAACTGACATGTTTCTGCTACTTGTCATGTCTTAAACACATTTTTGTTAAAGATTTAGTTTAATAATGATGGAAATACCTTGCTCTACATTGTGTATTAGATATTTAACATGTAAAATCCAATTAAATATAAGTCAACTTTTAAAGCTTAGCCTTAACGAGCCATTGCGCATGAAGGGGCTGGTGGGACATGTACATACATGTCGTTGATAGAAAAGAACGTACCTTTGCAAGTATGGCTATGATGGAGTTGGCACTCGCAATAACATAATGATAGTTTGAAAACAATATGATGATGGTAGCTAATTCCATAATGCACTATTTAAGTAAGGGTGTATGGGTTCAAGATCCTTGCTTATTTGTGTAGATAGAAATGGTTATTTTGTTGCATGGTTATGAAATTGGATTCCTCCATCCACCAAAAGGAAAAAGAGGAGTTAGTTATGCATTTTCTAACACTTTCTTTTCAACATGCTTATTGATTAATGTTTATATAAGTTTAATTAATTTAAGGATGAAATCCATATATTTAATTCGTTTAGATTATTTTCAGAAAATAGGAAAGAGTTTTTGCTAAAATTTCCCACAGATAAACTGTCTTTCATTTCTTACGAGTTAATTCAAATGATTATATTTATCCTACTTCGTTCATAAATCATCATTATTTTCTCTCTTTTATAAATGCTGACAACGTATTAATTATATTAGGCAAGCCAAATTTTGACGTAAACGTTGTTATCACTCAAACTTTGATTTTTTGATGGCCCTACACACAGCTGTGTCTATCTGTCTCTTCCCACCAATGAAGGGAACATTCTTTTTAGATTCCATAGCTTGTATCGAGGGAGAGTATGGAAAATAGCACTATTCATGAACACTATGGGGCTATTAGCATGTTTTTTTCAACTGAAATTCAACATGTTTACGATTAACTTACAATTTAATTACTTTTAATCTCGATCTAAATAGTTATTTTCTATTAATTAATTCATTTGTAACAATTTCTCTGGTGTAAGTACATTTATTCAATTGTCACAACCTTGTTCAGTATTACATACACATTGAATATATGTTTTTTGGATATTAATGAAATATATTCTAAACCATCTTTTGTATACTTCTTATGGACGAAAATCCGACTCAAACTCACAGATATTTGTTGAATGAGCATTTACTGATTTTATGAATATTCGAATATATTTTCAGAATCCATGACTATCTGTTGAAGTAAAAAAAATAAAAAAGAACAAATAAAACAAAGCTAAAATGGTGATTATAAACCATATGTTTGTGCTACAAGTACATAATTCATCTTTAGAACATAAACTTTGACGCATTTTTCAGTTTGCAGATTAATTTTAAATATAGAAGACTTATTTCACTGAAATGAATTTTGCTTCCAAAATCATTTCTATACACACGACTAGAAATTGAACTCAAAATGTTCAAAAAACTCTTAAAGTTATTCCACATATGAAAAAATGAAACTGTAAATAAGCCAAGTTGTAACCTTCTAAAGGACTCTCACAACAATAATGACTGTAACAACAAGAAGTTTTATGCTATTCTACTGTGCACAAAACAAATCAATGGCTGTACAAGGTTATGTGAAATGAATATTGACACGGAAAATAATTTAGCATGAAAGAACCAAAACCCATTTTCTCACACAAATATGGATCACACAATCCGTAGTCTACAGTCAGCAGCTTTAATGTAGGAAGGAATATCTGGCCAGGAGTTGTAGAGGTCCATGCAGCACATGCACATTCTTGCATTTGATTTCACAATCTTTAGTTCCATTTGGTCAGTTTTCAAACAAGAGTCAACTTCCACTGTAGAACTTACATGTCTGTAATAATCATGGAATTGTCTGACCACCACGCACTGATATATACTCCTGTTTTCGAATATACTCAACTTTCCTTGTTATTTACTGAAGAGTTTACCGAAGAAGTGTGCTTAGATGAGGAAGAATTGAGCAGAGATTGTGTAGCTATTAATTTGTCCCTTAGCATGACATTGTACTCGTACAAATTTTTGAGATTCTTCTGAATATCGGACAAGTCCATTTCAGAGCCATCCTTAATTGCTGCATTGCATTTTCATACAGGTTAATGTATGAGAGGAAGCAAAAACACTAACAATTTTCAAAACTCAGAAAATCAAGAAGTTCTATTAAATGATTAAATAGCTATTTAAACAGTGTAGAAATAAGCTTCATAAATAATACAGGGTAATAGACACTGTGAAGGCTAAACTATTTGCATATAAAATGCTAACAAATAATTTTTGCATTTATGTTAAGGACTGAAATAGGATCAGTTGTAATATATATTTTTTTTTAGCCATTATCTTTTGTGAAAATGTGTCAAGCACAGAGCTCTAGCTAAATAACATAATCATACCAAGTTATGCATAACATGATAATATAACTACTTTAGTGTAATGCTTGAGCCATGCTATTGTTACAAAGGCGGAGATTGTACACAAAACGTGAAGCCATGAAGGCATTGATGATGGTGAGATAGTGGAGCTTAGAGTCGGTTTCAATATTTGAAACTTAGTGATGTAGCAATCAACAAAAATATATCACCGGGTCTTGAGGTTGAGATTTAGTGATTAGCAAGTTGCTACGAACACAAATTAATTTGTACCTAGTGAAGGTGGAGGAGGAATGAAGCTGTCATCAACAATGGAACATTCTTGAGGTTGAGAATGAGGGGGATCCTTGCATGAACCAACATTCTGCTGCTTTGCCATGTTTTCAGAATGCAGTTTGGAATCGTTCGTGGATCCAAGCGGTTTGCAGGTTATTGACTGGAATACAAAACATTGAAAGAGGAAAATTAAAAAGTAATCAGCAACTAGCTGAAAGCCAATCATGTAAGCTACATATCTTTGACTACATATAGCATACATTGATGACATATGAAATGAGAGGAGTCTTGTCATGAGATGAGATGATAGCAGCAACATATTTTGACAATTGGATACTACTGAATGCAGTATATCGGTCTGAATCTGAAACATAATTTATGTGAATTATTTTAATTAGTAATCTGACCTTTTTAAAGGTGTAATCTTGATTACTAAAATCCAATAACAATGAGAAAGATTCACTCTTGTCTCATGGTAAGCACTGGGCAACTAGTATATCATTTCAGCCACATAAGTACTTACGAGTGGCCATTTATTCGTACAGAAAATTGAGTATTAAGATTACATTCAATTTGACAAACATATTACCCTGAAAATACTAATGATAATAATAAATGCAATATCTTCAGCTTAAAGAAAGGAATCGGAAAAAAATACAATGCAGGTTCACTTCATCACTTCTAGAAATTGGACTTTTAGACACTCACCAAATCAATAGCATTAGACTCGCCAAAAAATGCAGGTGACATTAGTAATAATGAGATGTAAATCAAATTGCACTGATGTGAAATGTAAAAGTTTTACCTTGTTAGCATGTGAGCCAGGTTTCTTGTACAAACTTATAGAATCTCTTCTGCTTGTCAGCCTTCGTTTATTTGATGAACCACTACCCCGAACTGAATGCAACAAACATCCACCACAATCTGTTTCCTTTCTGGTGTTATTATACTTGTCGTCTAATGCAGTACAGCCATAGGTATACATTACATATTTTCTCAGCTGATTAAAAGAAGAAATATCAGTAATAAAACTCAACAATTAAGATGGATAAAACTGATTAAAAGAAAATTAATGGGAAATATACAAGATGTTTGAACAAGTTGATAAAGAAATTACTTTGTCCCAATGCTCTTGAGCTTTACGCCGATTTCTAATTCTCCTCAAAATGCTATCTTCATTTCTGAGTTTCTTTATCCTATACTCGCACTAATTCAATAGAAGGTTAAAACAATATGGAATGTAAGTATGAAGAATCTACAATGTAATCAGTCTACAAGAAGTAAAAAAATCCACAACGATCAAATATCAGTGATGCAGTATTAGAAACATATATGGAATGTTCACTGTCTTACAAGAAAATACGAACGTGAATTCTATATAGTAAAATTGAATAATAGTGCTCCTCCAATTCCTTCTCATTCAGCAAATTAAGCTTATTTGGATTTTCAATTTATATAATGAGAATTGATGAAAGAGAAGCAGGAAAAAACTGTGACTTGTTGGTAGTACAGAATCACACCGAGTCATGGATGTATTGGTCTCGGTTTAAAGTTGTTTGAATTTCATCAAATGATATGAAGAACTGTCTTGCTGAATTGCATTGAAATGTGCAATTTTAACTACCATACACATCAATGAATTAGAAATTACACACACCAACTATAGCCAACTATGGAAGTTTCAAATGCTGATCTTATGTTGTTGAATGTATAATTAATCACAGCCTGGATCTACATTCTACAACATAAAATATCAAGTCCTAAATGTACAGCATAATTTTGAAATATGAGGGAAGCATAACTGAATAAAATCAAGAAAGGAACAAGAAGTAAACCTGTATCAACAGGTAGAAAAAGATGCCTATGCTAATACAATACAAGCCACCAAGATCCGCAAGGAAGCTCACTGCACATGAAAGCAAAAAAAAGATGGAATTATAAATAGTGTGAAGCAACAATATATATTAACGCAAACAGGTTAGCAAAGACATTTTTTGCTAAGATCGCACGTGGGTTGGGTATATGATCAGAGTACGTTTTATAATGACTTTGGTTGAGTTAGACTGCTCAATCCTTTGTCAATTCTAACAGACTCCAAAATACTTAATTCATGACAGTATTTTGATCATCGATGCAGCATATTTCAATTGAAAAGCCGTGTTTCCACAGGTTAAACTCTTTAAATTATTTCCAACTGATCTACTTTTTTTTACCTGCAAATTTTGATTAGGCCAAAACCAGCACAAAGCATAGAGCTCATTGTGAGATTTAGAATGAAAGAAGTTAACTATTCAAGGAACCGGTGGTTGAACTTGACAGTATAGCAGCTGATAGTATCTAGTTTGTGAATGAATGATGTTAGAACCTAGACTACAAATGAGACTATGAGATTAAGGAATAGAAGAAAGTAGTAACAATGAAGCAAACAACAATATTACATGACAAAAATGCAATTTGGGCACTGTAAAGAGGAAGAGAAAGGAAGCCAAGAATTAACTAAATATAACCTAATAGAATGATTGCAGGAGAGATAGCTTGTATATACAACAAGTACAAAAGACACTTACCAGGACCCAAAATATTCTCCTTTTCGATTTCCACAACATAATGAGATAGGAAATTGATAAACAATGTAGTGTTGATCAGTCCATCGGCAGACCTTTCAAGGGATGCTCGAAGCTCATTTGTATCCCGAGAAACTGAACCTGGGAGGAACTCGTGAAATAAAGGCTGTATGAGCTTTAGCTCATGTAGATTATGGTATATGCGAGGGAACAAGTTGAATTTCAAAATATTTGTTTGGTTCCCTCTGAATGTAAGAGGGCTACCATTAAAATCACTTCCATTCTTCAGCGTTCCACTAACAAAGCTCACATGTTTCTGAGCAATATCCATTGAAGTGAGTTTGAACTCAAAACCAACAGCAGTGGCAGGATTATTGGGGAGATCAACAAACTGCCATGAAATAAACATATGATCATAGTGGACCTTGCAGTTTCTACACTTGAGGACTATGGTTGGACCTGTGCTTGAGTTGTAGCAACTGTAGTTTCCTAAAGTAGACAGAGAAACAACTCTTTCGTCAATAGAGCCAGGATTCCCAGTAACTAAATTTCCCAGATTCCGTAGATTTGCACAGCTCATACTAGACACAGTTGTTATATTGAACTCCATATCATTGATAAAAGATGTTAATTCGGGTCCATTTGTTGCTCTTACATTGTGCACCTCAATTGATCTCTTTGATATGATCTGGTACAGCAACCTGATGGAAGATTGAGTCAAAATGAATACATGACAAAACAAAGAGAAACAAGATGTAATAAGGTGAAAATAATAGATTTTCAGTATGATATACTCAGAATATGCTGAAGTAAGGCATTGGAGACTCACGCAGCAAATAAACCAATAAATAGAATCCAACTTGCTATGGAGAAAGCTCCACCAAGTTCTGTTTTGCGTTTGGTCACCACTTTCTGATCATCCTACAAGAAAAGGAAAAAAAAAAAAAAGGAGCACCCCATAAAGCAATTTGCATACACAGTTAACAACAATAAACCTACTGTTTTATGTGCCAGGACTAAGAAGAAAACGTGAATCCAACAAAAAAAATTAAAAAAACATATTTAGAAAAGGATAAAATTATAGATGCCCTTTTGAGGTTGCTCTTCGATCAGAATTACAGACTCACATTACTAACCAAAACAATAAAGAATTGCATTAAAAGTTAGTATATTTGAGACAAAAATACACTTTTGTTCCCTTACTTCAACATTAGTGCAATTTGTGTTTCCATACTTATAATTGACCGATTTTAGTCTCAAAATTTACCCAATGCTAAGATTAGGTCCTTCCGTTAGTTTGACATCCAAATTTTGTTAACACCTGTAAATTTATTAGAATTTTACATTATTTTCAAAAAATTTCCTAACATGTGAAATTTTTTTTTTTTATGACATTGATTAGAAAACAACAACCTATTGATTAAGAGATTATTAATGTCAATAAATTCCTTAAAATTGAGTATCCATTTCTAATAAATTCCTTAAGTTATTCCACCAAAACAAAACTCACATTCTAACAACGATGTCATAAATATCTCAACAACTGCATTTTAATTTTATCCTTCAAAAAAGATGAAGTTATGGATGAAGATGGATTGCAAACTAAACCACAACCACAATTCACGAAACCCAAGAAAGGAAGAACATAACGAAGCAAACCAAAACTAACCAGCCAGTGCCTGGTGGCAAAGCAAATATCCAACCTACTGATCCACCACCTGATTTTGAACCAAACGTTCCTTCCATCACCGAGCTTCGAGAACCTCAGACAGAAGCAGAAAAGAAGCCACGAGAGGAGCATCACGAGTGTGGCTTCCAAGAACACAGCCTGCGACTGCGTGAACTTCTTGATGGAGTCGAAGGCGAAGAGGGTCTCGGGGAAGCTGAGCGCATAGTAGTCAACGCCGGAGTCGGTGGTGATGGTGGAGTTCCCCGCGAAGAGCTCGCAAGTGTTCCTCCCGCCCTGGAGCACATAGCCGGGGGCACACGCGCAGAGGGTGGTGTTGTAGGTGACAGAGTTGGCAAGGCACGACGCCATTGGAGCCGAAGAATCCGAGATCTAGTGATGATAATAAATTTTTATTCTTTATTCAATTCCGCAAATGACCCATTCGTGAAAAACGCATACAAAGTTCAGCTTTGTAGAGATTTCACGTGCTGAGAGAGAAAACGTGAAATGGGCCGGATAGTGTTTGGGTGGTTGGGTTGAAACGGTGAAGAACAGAGTGGAAAGATGAGACAGAACATAACATAGGAAAACAGAAAAGAAAAACAGAGGAACAGAGAAGAAAAAAAAAAAAAATGTGTGTGTGTTTTGTTTGTATTGATTTCTTCGAGGTGACGCAGTCTGTATGCTATGTGTTGTGGTAGAGAGAAGAAAAGAATTGATTTATCGAGGTGTTTGCTTTTTAGCTGGGTTTTGTTTTGTGGAGAAGAAATGTTGTTCTTCAAGGTGTGTTGTCATGTGTGCTTGGTATTGGTTTATGGACTTTTTTTGCAACGTCTTCAATTGAATCTGCGTTTACATCTTATCCTGCTGAGAATGAATGAAGAAGAGTATCTGGACTTACATTTCTTACCATTTTATTTCAAAAGAGCTTTCCGTGGTAAAAGAGAAATATTATCCTAAATCATTTTAAAACATAATTCTGAATCAAAAATAAAATAATAAATGAAATAAGATACTCTCAGTCTCGTTACAAACACTTTTTAAAAATAAATTTGTAGATTCCAAATTAACAATAACACAATCATCGTACACCTGGACACTCTCACCAACCAACGTCAATACAAATTAAGTGCCACGATTTTTAAGTGCCACGATTTTGAATTATGTCACGTGTTAGGTAAGTTAAGAAAATTTTGAAATGGAGGAAAAATCTGAGTTTTGAGTGTGTGGCTAGAAAAAGTTTTCAACGATATCGATTTCATTTAGTTTGAGGAAAACTACAAATGCTCAGAAAAAAAAAAAAATATACGAAAATGTGGGTGTGACTTTATCCACCACACATACGGAGTTTGTGAGAAACAAGTTAAGTTAGATTCTATAAAACATTCTCTAGATCCTTCAAGAAAATATCAATAGGGAGAGTGTTTCTGGTGGAATTTCGATCGATTTCGGTTCTAAACAGTGTTATGGTCCTAATCGAAATCCTCCCACGTAAGTTCTTTTTACTTAGGCTAGTAGTCTGACTTTCAATCGAAAACGTGTATGAGGATCGAAAATCACAAGATATCAAGAAAACTGTTTTTGGTATTTTGTTTTTGAAGTACTGAGAACAGTAAAAGTATCGAATCGAGAAACGGAATATTAAATTGCAAAGAAATGTAAAGTGCGAAAACCCCAATTTTGCATAATTGTAAATGATAAGGAATCGAAAATAGTGCAAATATAAATGGCAGGAAATCGAAATGTGTAGGAAATGTAAATGGCAATAAATCGAAATTGCAAGAAAAGTAAATGACAGGAAATCGAAAAATACGTAAACTTAAACTTTCATTGAATTGAAATGACTAAGAATCGAGAGTACAGAAACATAAAATTATCGAATTTAAATTGCATCAAAATAAATTACCAAGGAAAATACGAAAGCGGTAAATGTACTCGGTGAGCAAGGAAATCCAGATTGTCGAAGCTTCATGGTGTTCGTCGTTTCTCCGGTAGACTTTTCACTACTCGATTCTCGTTCTCTCGCCAATTCTCGCCCCCTGTTCCTTCCTCCTTTGCTCTCATCTATAGGGCATCCTTCAAGCCTTCCAAGAGCAGTTAACACGACCGCTACCACGTTCTACGTGCGTATGGCGGTTTATCTTCTATAGTTTCCCACGTTCTCACGATCTCGACTTTTTCCCATGATTTCAAAACCGCTCTTTATACGTGCATTC